GGTGTGAGGAGGTCAATGAAACAAGCAAATGGAAATTATGGATATGCAATTTGGGATTTGTGGTTTTTTCCCCCCTCTTTTTTTCTTTTTTGTTGCTGTATTGTCGTGTGCTTTTCTCTTTTTTTATTGTCTTCTTTTTCTTTTTTCTTTTTTTGTATTGTAGTGTTGTTTTTTGTTTTTTATTTTTCTTGTAATTTAGAAATTATCAATAAATATTATTAAAAATAAAATAAAATGAAAGGGCTTGGAAGGAAGCTCAAGCCAAAGGAACTTCGGCAGTGTCTCTTTGGAGTCCCGGCACCCCTCGCCAAAAGAAAAAAAAGGCTGAGGTGGGGGGGGGGAATCCAGGCACAGAGAAGAACATCAAACAGACCGATGAAAAGCCTCACATCACTGAAGCAGTGACAAGATGGTAAGAGCTCTATTTCTATATTAAAATAAATGTAAAGTGGTAGCAGCAATAAAACCTAAAAGGAAATAAGACAAGAAGAAAAAAAGGGAACTCAGGGGGAAAAACCCCTCGCGGAGTGAGTAAACCCAAAACAAAATAAAGAGTAAAAATAGCAGAGGGGAAATAATGCTACCACAAAAGTAAAGGGAAGACAGAAGAACAGAAAAAATATAGAGAGAGTGTAAAGAAATCACTCAGATTGCAATTAAACTATTTGAAAAGCACACTATCTGAAACGGACTTACTAGAAAGTGCAAAGCGGTGCAGGCTGCCTGTTATTGTTATTGTTATTGCCTGTTATTGGAGCTGGGTAGAGTAAAGCAGCCGCTTTGAAACTGAAGGTCCTTGAAGGAAAGATAAAGACAAAGGAATAAGGGATGCTGTGGGGGAAAGGAGGGGAATTTAACAAATAAGATGGCGACAAGGGTGTGAAGATGCTGAGTAATCACTGAGAAGGAGGAAGAAGGAGGAAGTGACGAAAACAAAATAGTGAAAGAGAGGTTTAAAGGAGGACAGAAGCTGGCAAGCTGAGTAAATAAGAACACAGTGACACCCAATGGACAAAGTAGGAAAAGCAGCAGTAAAGGAAAATTGAAGCAACAGAAGGACATCTGTGTTGGGATCTAACGCCCACCGGGAGGGTTGGCAGCCTCCCAGCATGTCCGGGCGTTAGTCCGGTGGACACCCTCTGGCAGGAACCCAGGAATCCTCCTCTGCCCAGAGGTGCCGGTGAATGAGCGACTTTGCCCTTGTGGGTAAAGCACACTCCCTTTGCTTCTGATAAGGCTCCATGCATCAGAAGAAAGAAGACAGTTTGTAGACTAAAATCTACTTTATTCAGAACTGTACAAATATACACAAACAAACTGCATGTTTCCAGCAGCTAAGCTTCAGAGTCTCCGACTCATTCTCTACTCCAGTCTAAGAGCAGAAGCGCATAGCTAAAGGTCCACCCAGTCAGACTGAACTGGCACTGTGAACTGGCACTGACTTCCTTTCCCACGCTTCAGCAGAACATGACATGATGTTTTCGACTCAGCAACATCTTGCAGCTGGCAGCTTGTGGGAGCTAAAATCCCAACATCCTCCCCCATTTGAGTCACACAAGCAGCCCGAGATACAAAAGCCCAAGCAGCCTGCAATGAGGAAAACAAACAGTTGTTAAACACATAAAAATCCCCTGTTGTTCCAGTTCCACCTTTGGAACTACCCGCAACTGGATCTACCAGTTGATACCTCTGGTGACTCTTCTTCCAAGGAACTAGAGCTTCGGCTCTACCTTGGTTAGGGAGAACAGTGTTGCACCCTGCAACTTCCAGGAATGGCTTTGTCTCTGCCCTGGACAAACCTTGAACCTGGTTTGAGTTGTTAACTACAGCTATACATGCAACAGCTGAGTTAGCAAACTCCTGAGAGTACCTTTTGGGGGGCACACCCTTTGTAACTCTCTCAGATCTGCGAACAAAATGCAGATCCTCTTTGCCAATTGGCTCTTCCGTGGGACTTTTGGGTTCTTGCAATTCTAGTTCAGCCTGAACCTGCGAAGGCCTGGACATTGTGTGTGAACCCTTCTTAATGACTGTGTCATTAGAACTGTCAGTGACGCCTTCACTGTCACTTTCAATATCAGAATCTATTTCTGTATTGACGTCAGTGGGAAAACAATGTAGAATTTCTTTCTTCTGTCCACCAGTGCATTCGACATGCTTTGCCAGAACCACTAAATTAGACTCAGGAAGAACTACTCTCTAGTAACCCTCTTCGTAACCCACAAAAATGCCTTTTGCTCCTTTAATTCCCTGTGGTGTGTCCACATGCACACGAGAACCGAAAACCCTAAAGTGACTCACTGAAGGTTTTGTCTGGAACAGCTTCTCAAATGGAGAACTTTCCATCCCTGCTGAAACCTGTCTTACCCATGTGTAAGAAAATGCGTTCAGCGATTCAGCCCAAAACTCTTGGGGCAAGTGTGCACAAAGCAGTTGCGCTTTCATGCCTTTCTGCAACTCTTTGTTCACCTTGACACACACACTTTTGTTCCATGATGCCTCAGAGACAGCAACCTTGTGATCTATCTTACGTCCCTCAAGGAAATCTTGAAAATCCTGTGAAAGGAAAACTGGCTTTTCATCTGTGAAAAGACTTTCAATATTAGCATCATGAACAAATTTCACCTTTTCATAAAACTCTTTTAATTTTGCTAAGGTCTCCTGTGGCTTCTGCAATGTATATACCCATACAAACTGAGAATAACAGTCAACAATCACAAGATAGAACTTTGCATTGCCTCTAGAGAGCGGTAGAGGACCAATTACGTCAGCATAGACACGCTGAAACACCTTGATAACTTTTCCAGGCTTCTTGTCCTTGGCACCTGAAAAAGAATCTGTAAGACAAGACACATTAGTTTTACATCCTACAGAATCTTTACAATCTTTGCAATCTGAGTCATCAAAGCGTAACAGATACAGTCCATCCTCTTCTTTTGCAGAAAGATATGGCTTCTTATCCTTGAAGATCGTGCATCTGTTCTTATCAAAGGACACCACCAGCCCTTGCTTGGTGAGCTGTGAAACACTGAGCAGGTTAAATTCCAAACCTGGCAGAAAGTACACATTGTTTATAGTCAAATTAAGACCTTTTTAGGAACACAGTCCCAAAACCTGTGGCCTCAAGTTCCTGGCCATTTGCTTGCTTCACAGTGAAACGTCGAGTTTCAAACTTAGCAAATAAGCCCCGCCTACTGGCGAGATGATGTGTCGCTCCTACGTCTGCAACAAATGCATTCCAGGTCGACGATGAAGCCTCTGGCAAAAACAAAGCTTTGTCTGGCTTTGTCTGAGACTTGGCACGACTTTTGCTTGCAGTCTCTGCTCCAGAGCTCCCCCTGGCTTTTGAAACACGGCTCTTGCAGTTCCTCTGCACATGGCTGAGAAGCCCACATCTGTGACAACGAATGGCATTCAGTGCTGTTGCACACTCCTCCTGAGCCACTGGGGGGGTGCTGCCACAGCTCCTGCTTCCTCCCCCTCAGCCACAGCAGCTGCCAATAACCTGTCATGTTCATTCATCAAAGAGGCACACACCCTCGAGAAGGTAAGATCCTGCACCAGGAGGCAACCAAGCTGGCTTGCAACAGTCCCAAACCTTTTGTCTAGGCTGTTAATGAGCATGAAACAAAAGACAGCTTCCTCCAGAGGGAAAATTCCTCTCCGCCAGTTGGTGGCGCAATTGCTGCATCGTCGTCAAATGCTCTCTCAAATCCTGACCCTCTTTCTGTCTGGCATTCCAGAGACGCTGAAAATGAAGCAAAGCAGTTCCTGCTATTTCTCTCATGTGAACGTTACATAGAGCCTGCCACATCTGCCCTGTGTGGGGACAGCCTTGAACATGAATTAACTGAGGATCGGACAAACACAAATTTATGGCAGCCTTTGCCTGGGTGTCACGATCCCTCCAAAGCCTCTCAGGATTTATGGGAATGGGATTGTCCACCACATCCCAAATCCGTTGCCTTTGAAGCATGGCCTGCATTTTAATATTACAGCTGGCATAATTCTCATTTGTGAGAGGAGGACAAACCAGCTTTGTGTCCCCTTGCCAATTATCCATTTTGGCTCCTGTTAACCAGCAAGCTATTTAGAAACGTCAAACAGTCTTTGAGCGTATTTATGGCTCAAGTCCAACTTGCTTCTCCGAGGTTTAATTGTCTCATAAATCAGAAACTTTCAGTACTCACAGTTCCTTTGAAGCGACCTGCGTTGCCTCCGAACTCCTCCGGCAGGGGAAAAAAAACAAACAGCTCTCTCCGGCTGCTCTCCCACTCAACGAGGAATGCTGGCTGTGCTTACAAATCCAAAAGCAAACAGCTGCTGCAGGGCTTCAAAGAACCGATCGGCATTTCAGTCAAACCTTTTGACCATGCTGCATTGGCATCCAAACTGCGTACGTGGCAATCTTCAGAGGGCCATGGCTTGGCAACCAACCATCCTCTGCTACCACTGTTGGGATCTAACGCCCACTGGGAGGGTTGGCAGCCTCCCAGCATGTCCGGGGCGTTAGTCAGGTGGATACCCTCTGGCAGGAACCCAGGAATCCTCCTCTGCCCAGAGGGGCCGGTGAATGAGCGACTTTGCTCCATGCATCAGAAGAAATTCAGAACTGTACAAATATACACAAACAAACTGCATGTTTCCAGCAGCTAAGCTTCAGAGTCTCCGACTCATTCTCTACTCCAGTCTAAGAGCGGAAGCGCGTAGCTAAAGGTCCACCCAGTCAGATTGAACTGGCACTGTGAACTGGCACTGACTTCCTTTCCCACGCTCCAGCAAAACATCACATGATGTTTTCGACTCAGCAACATCTTGCAGCTGGCAGCTTGTGGGAGCTAAAATCCCAACAATCTGGTGGTTGAAAAAGAGAACGCAAAATGTCTCATGCAATTAAAAAACAGACGACTGAAACTGGAAGTCAACAGCAACAATAAAAAAGAAACTCAGGCTTTGAAGAAATGGATTTGAGGGAGCTTATTATAAGTTTGAAGTTGGACATGGGAGGAATGAGAAGAGAGTTGGAGGAAAAAATCAATACAATTGACAGGAAATTAGAAAAATTAGAAAACACAATGGGAAAATACGAAAAAGAAAATGAAGAAATAAAGAAAAAATTAACAGAAGTCTTAGAAGGAATGAACGAGACAGACAAGAAAGTACAAGGAATAAAGAATATAAATCAACAAATGGAAGAGATGTTAAAGAAAATTAGCAAAGAACAAAGGGAACAAAGAAAAGAAATGGACAAATCAAAAAAAGAGATGGAGGAACAAAAAGCAATCCAGGAAGCTACTGGGGATGCGCTAGCAATGATACAGATGCAGATTAAAGAGAAGACCTTGAGATTCAGAAATATTCCAGAAGAGGAGAGGGAAGATATTTGGAAGAAGATGACTGAAACTTTAGCAAAGTGGCTACATTTACAGGAAAAAGACATAATAGAACAGACAGAGAAAATCTTCAGAGTGAACTCAAGAAAAGCAAAAATGAACAAATGGCCGGCACACTGCATCATTGTATTCACATCGAATTGAATGAAAGATAAGATCCTCCAAGCAAAGAGTAAGAACAAGTTAACCATAGCTGGAAAAGAAATAATAATTTTACGAGAAGTCCCACCCAGGTTGATAAAAAAGAGACAGCAATTCCAATTTCTAACAAAAGCACTAAAGGCCAAATCAATATCCTTCAGATGGGAATACCCAGTGGGGATTTCCTTCAATTTCAAAGGAAAAAGAAGACGATTTGAGACATTTGAGGAAGCAGATATGTTTTGGAGGAAGTATTGAGGAGAATTAGGAGGAGGGAAAAGCTAAGGAAGAAATGAGGAAGGAAGAAAGGGAGAGCTATCAGATGAGGCAGAAGAAGAAGATAGAGCTCAGCAAAGGGTGGAAGGATAAAGAACTACGCCAGTGGTAAATAATCAGACCAATAACTATTACAAAACTCTTCTCCTTTACCACTGCAGATAAGTTAAACTCTTTCTACTAACTTTATAATTTTTTAACTAATAAAGAATGAAATTTAAATTGTTATCTTGGAACATAAATGGTTTAAACAATAGGAGGAAAAGGCAGAAAATAGAACGTATCTTAGAGAGGCAGAAGTGGGACCTTGCTTGTTTGCAAGAAACCCACATCAATACTAAGCATAAAAGATTATTGGACTTCCTGGCTTGGTGCGCTCAGCGTCGGGTCAGGGAAAGCGCTTTGCTGCAGTAAGAGCGCTCCCAGTCACGGGTACGGGATAAAAGGACGGGGAAGCGAGGGCGACGCAAACCCTGAAGAGGTCTGAGAGGAGGTTCCAGACTGAAGAAAATAGATCCAAGCAGTGCATAAAGGGGTTTTCTGCCGTTCCAGCACAAAAAGTGGAGGAAGGTGGAAGAACCTCAGCGCAGAAAGTTCGCACACCCGACCGTGAGACGCCCCTTAAACCCAAATGAGAAAGCACCAGGCTGCTCCAAACTAAAACTGTAAAATCAAAAGTACTCCTGAAGGAAGAAGGTAATAACGCTGGCTTAAATTAAAATAAAAGGAGTACGGACTAACTTAATATTATAAAGGGCAGTAAAGTTAATTGAGAGAGGAGCTTCAGCGTTCTGAGACTTATCAAGTTGTGGAAAATAAGCCTTGTAAAGAGGCAGAAAATAAAAACTGAGACATACTGAGTACCTGCTTCTACAGGGGGACGCTCTGTTGAGAGAGACAAGGAGCTGAAATAGCAAGCAGCAGCAGCGGGGACAACAAAGCAGCGGCCATTAAGAAGGAGATCAGCGTAAAACAAAGGGGTGAGTGGAAAAGAAAAAGGAGGGGGAGGAACGTGGAGGAGACAGTGGAAAAGAGAAGGAGTAGAAAAGATTTGAAGACCAGGCAGCGGTGGGAAGATAAAGATTAAGATAAAGAAGTGAAAGGGAAGAAGAAGAGATATACGAAGGGAGAGAAAGAAGGAGGAAAAAGACGGTAATAAGGAAGAAAGCAGTTTGCGAAAATGGCGCTGGGGGGGGGGGGGGAAGTGTGAGTCATTGCCCTCAGAAGGGAAAAAAGCCGGAAGAAGAATAGTGGCAGAAACAGTCACTGCAACAAAGAGAGGCTAGAGAAACAAAACAAGAAGGACCAGCTCACAAGTAAATTGGAAAATTTTCCTAGTGGCGGAAAATAAAATTACTCCCACAATTTAAAAAACGCTGCTAAGACACAGGTTTGAAGCACAACTATAAAGAAAACTAGCTATATATGAAAGGATATCTGAAATAGCAAGCTCAGCTTCTAGAAAATAAGTTCTTAAGACGGATGTTAAGTACTGCGAAGGAATTTTTCTCTGACAACTGCCAAAGTAATTAAAATAAAACAAAATATTTAACTAAATTTATATTAAAACTTCGATTTATTTATTTTTAAAAAAATTAAATATTTGAGATGAACTGGTAACAATATAGTGTAAAACCACTGGAATCTTAATTGACTTTCAACCCCAACAGATGGAATAAAAGGACCAAATTATAGACTATAAACAGAGCATTTTCACAGTTTAGGAATATATATATTCTTGGATTGAAGTAAAGACATTTAGACCAGAATCAAAAGGAAGAAGATAAATATGGGTTCTAAAAAATATCAAACTACACTGACATCTGGGTCAGGTCTACAAGTGAGAAGACAATCAACAGCTGAAACATGAAGGGAAGTTTTCTTTCTGCAGTTTCTCTTACTGCACATGACTGTGGCATTGTGGGAAGTCTTACTATGAAATCTTTCTATGCTTACTATGAGAACTCTTGCTTCTTTCTCTCTTACATTCTGGGAAGTTTTTGCCTCTGCACAAGAGTCTGAGAATGTTCTGAACAGTTCCCATTGAGTTCATGAAACAGTGTATCCTGACCTGTCCTTAATGCATTGCTGACCACATCTACAGAACGTGATTGTTGTATTCCTTCATGTTATGTTCTCTCAATATCAATCTTTAGTTATAATTTAATTAGGAGGTTTCATGCCTGTCTAGTTCCAGCTCCGCTCCCAGTCTTTTGAACTATCACTGATTAATGTAATATGTTATTCCCGCCTTGTACCTATGTTAACCAATCAGCAACAAGATGCTTTGTGTTTGTATCAGCCAATCAGCCACAAGCACACCTGTGGCAATGTTTGTAATATTCAATAAAGAGAGTTCCCGGGACTTGCCCCGGGCAGACGTCTCTCCTTTGACACCCACCATTCGTCTGTCGTGATTTCAACCCAACATCTGGTGACCCCCGACGTGCCAGATCCCTTACGCAGCCAAACCTCATACTTCACCCGACTGGAAAAGTCTCAGCGCGCTACTTCGTGAGTATGGGAGGGGACTTGACTAAGCTCCAGAAAGAGCATGCTAAAGAGTTGCTTTATTTAGTTAGACAGCGGGAGGTGGGTGTTAATATTTCCTTAAAAGAAATTGAACAATTGCTATGTGAGATAAATTGCCAATGCGTCTTTTATCCAGAGGCTGGATCTTTGGACGTAGAGACTTGGCAAAAGATCGGAAAGACCATTGTTGCAGAACCTAGGGCTCCGAGTCAGTGTCTGCTCACTTGGCAGAAATGTGCTGATGCCGTTGCTAAATTAGGGCCCCAATTGGGACCCCAGGCGTCTCCTCTTCTGGCCATTGCAGACAATCCCCCACCCTACCCGAAACTTTTACCTCCTTCTCCCAGCCAATCCCTCCCTGCTTCTCACCCTCCTCAGCCTGCATCCTCCCCCCCCCATCCCTCCGCCTCAGCCTGATTCCTCCCCCCCCATCCTTCCTCCTCCTGCCACAGCCCCTGTTTGCTCTATAGGAGCTGTGCGTGCTGCGCTCTCTCTGGCAAGGCAAAAAGGGCTCCTGTCCTTAGAGGAGGAGTCTGAGTGGCCAGGTGAAATGCCGTCTGCTTTCCCTATCTCTTATTCAAACCCTGGAACTGCTCAACAGCAGATTTATTATGAATCGCTTCCTTATTCTGTAATGAGGGAATTAAGGAAAGCCATTGCTGATTCTGGTCTGAAATCCTCTTATGTGACAGGGATGCTAGAAGGCATAGCAACTGGCTACATTATGCTACCTCAGGACTGGAAAGACCTTATGCGCATGCTTTTGTCCCCTGCTCAGTATGTGGTGTTTGAGAGTGAATTTAAACATAGCGCTTCAGCCCTGTCTGATCCTCAACATACTGCCAATGAACTTTATGGTGCTGGTCAGTTTGCTGATATAACTGCCCAAGCAACACTGACACCTGTACATTTTGTTCGCACCGCGACCTGTGTTCAACGCGCCTTTCGGAAAGTCCCTGTTTCTGGGCAACCGCTGAGCTCCTTTGTGAATATTAAGCAACAGCATTCGAGCCATACCATCAGTTTATAGATAGATTGAAAGAATCAGTCACTAGGCAGATTGATAACACCACTGCTCAAAATGAATTGATGAAAAATTGGCCTTTGAAAACGCAAACACTGATTGCAAGAAAGCTTTGCAGTCAATCATACATCGCCCTAAATATGAACTGGCCGATATGATTCAAGCTTGTGCGGATGTCGGTAGCCAGAGCCATGCGATGTCCTTGCTTGCCGGCGCAATCCAAGCAACCACTAAGCCTACTGGTAACTGCTTTAATTGCAAGCGCCCAGGCCATTTTGCCAAGCAATGCAGAGCCCCTGGCGGGGGGGCACACAAGGATGGTTCTGCCTCTAAAGCTAGACCTTCTAAAAAATGCCCGAAATGTGGCAAAGGCTATCATTGGGCTAATCAATGCAGGAGTTCGGGAAACTCCATTGCGGCCCCACTCTCGGGCCAGGAAAATTAGAGAGCTTTCCGCCTTTAATTTCTGCTGCTGCAAACTTTTCAAAGAACACACCCTCTGAATTTGCAATTGATTTGATCAATCAAGAGACCAAAGATTCTGTTCTACCTGGTGAAATTGTGCTTATGCCCACTCAATTGGCAGGTCCCCTGCCTCCTAAAGTCGCAGGTTTAATTTTACCCAAATTTTCTGCGGCAAAGGAAGGCATCCAGGTTATTCCTGGAGTTCTGGATCCTGACTATGTAGGCACAATAATGGTTCAACTCTGGAGCCATATGCCCATGCAATTAAAAAAGGGTGAGTCTTGGGCGCATTTGGTGGTGCTCCCTTCTCATCCTACTGCTTCTATTATGGATGCTAATTTGCACGAGCTCTCTTCTCTTCCTCCACAGCTGTTAGCTGTAGTCCAGAGGATTGGTGAGAAGAAACTTCTTCGTAAGTATAAAATCAATGGTATTGTGCTGGAAGGCTTGATTGACACAGGCGCAGACGTTTCTGTAATTTCTAGTAGTTGCTGGGACCCCACGTGGCCCCTTGAGTCTGCCTCTGCAGTCTGGGGTGTGGGTGGCCCCCAAACCTCTTCCAAAAGCGTACAGTGGCTGCCTGTTTCTCTGCCTGATAGCTCTGAAACCATTGCTTACATCCAGCCCTGTGTGCTGAAAATCCACCTCAATCTGTGGGGAAGAGATTTGCTACAACAATTACAAGCTACCATTCAATTTAATGAGTAAGCTTGCACTTCCCCTCAACTGGAAATCTTCTGGTCGTGTCCTGGCTATACGTTTAATCACATTCCAGCAAACATCAGCCATGGCACACCTTGCTGTTTAAGCCGTTTGTCCATCATTTTATCGCTGCAATATTGAATTGACTAATGATTGTGATGCTTTTGTCTCTCTTCTCAGTAGGTCTGAATATATCTCTTTAGTTGCTTCTCTCTTAGGAGTCCCTGGATTGGCTGTACGGAATCGTGTGAACATTACTTCTTTAGCTTGTTATGCAGCAAAAACTCTGAATTATATTTCACAAGCCCTTCACCTTTTGAATAAAGAACAGTGCACTCCACAATGGACTTTTACAAAATCCTTTTACAAAATGGACTTTTTACATTATATAAATATAATGGACTTTTACGAAATCGTGCTATAGATTATTTGCTGATGCTTCATCATTATGGCTGTGAACAAGTGAATGACATGTGTTGTTTCAATATTACTGACAATTCAAGAGCCATTCAAAGTCAAATCTCTCATTTGCAAAATCTTACACATCACATTAAACAGGACATTGGTTTTCCTGGCCTCTGGGATTCTTTCACCCAGTGGCTTACCGCTTGGCTGCCTAACCTTACTTGGCTTCGTAGTCTCTTTCAATATGCTATTTTCATAATTTCTATTTTTATTTTACCACGCTGTTTTCTTCAATGCGTTCCTAGCTTCATGAGTCTTTTCTCTCGGCTTCTCTCCCCCCCCCCCACCACCCAGTAAACTGCTTGCTGCTTACATTGCGAAATGGCAACACCAACAGTAAACCTTAGGGGAGATGTGGGCGGATTTATTTTGGGCATGCGCTGGCAAACCACGTATCCTGAAGTACTTTTGTCCCATCGACCCTGGCAGGCTTATTTCGGGCATTCGCTGGCACACCACTAATCCCGAAGTATTTCTGCCTTATCCACCTGGAATGCCTCGCAAACAAGAAAAGAAAGGGGGAGATGAAGGGAAGTTTTCTTTCTGCAGTTTCTCTTACTGCACATGACTGTGGCATTGTGGGAAGTCTTACTATGAAATCTTTCTATGCTTACTATGAGAACTCTTGCTTCTTTCTCTCTTACATTCTGGGAAGTTTTTGCCTCTGCACAAGAGTCTGAGAATGTTCTGAACAGTTCCCATTGAGTTCATGAAACAGTGTATCCTGACCTGTCCTTAATGCATTGCTGACCACATCTACAGAACGTGATTGTTGTATTCCTTCATGTTATGTTCTCTCAATATCAATCTTTAGTTATAATTTAATTAGGAGGTTTCATGCCTGTCTAGTTCCAGCTCCGCTCCCAGTCTTTTGAACTATCACTGATTAATGTAATATGTTATTCCCGCCTTGTACCTATGTTAACCAATCAGCAACAAGATGCTTTGTGTTTGTATCAGCCAATCAGCCACAAGCACACCTGTGGCAATGTTTGTAATATTCAATAAAAGAGAGTTCCCGGGACTTGCCCCGGGCAGACGTCTCTCCTTTGACACCCACCATTCGTCTGTCGTGATTTCAACCCAACAGAAACAGACCCCAATGCTGACATAAAAGACCTTATAATGGGGATGGAAAAGAGCCTGAATGATAAGCTGGACATACTAGCTGGCAACATCCAACAAAACTCAAAGCTAATAATAGACTTAACAACACAAATAAGTGACCTCTCACTTAAAAATAAAGAACTGGATAAATCTGTACAATAACTTAAGAGTAAATCTACCAAACAAGAGGAAATGACGAAGAAATTGCGAATGGAAAATAAGGACATTAAAAAATCACAAGATTCAATGAAGGAAGAAATAAACGACCTAAAGAGAGCCCATGAAGAGCTGCTAGATGATATATCATTGATGGAGATGCATCAGAAGGAGATGGTTCTCCACCTTCGAGGCATCCCACAAACTCACAATGAGCAAATTCAAGAGAAATTATCACAGGAGATTGAAAACTGGTTGGGAGTAGAAGTAGAAGAGATGCTACTGGATATTGATAAAATTTTCAGGATCAAATCAGAAAGATCAGACCACTTATAAAGGGCCAGGAGATTGCTTAATTTTTTTCAACTCAAGACTTTTAAAGGACAAAATATTACATCAAAAAGGACAAGTGAAGTTAATAATAGAAGATAGGCCTATCAAAATATTTAAGGAAATCCTAAAATGAATTTTGAAGAAAAGGCAGAACTATAAGACAGTAACAGAAGCACTCAAGAAGAATTCTTTTAGATTCCGGTGGGAATTTCCTGATGGTATCACCTTTACATACAAGGACAGAAGAAAAACTTTTAGATCAGTAGACGAGCTGGGAAAATTCTGGAGGAAGTACAAAAAAAAACTAACTGGAGATCCAACATTGGAGCGAGAGGAAACAACGCAGACGCCACAAGAAGCATAGAGAGACAAGCGCATATCAAGAGGGGAGAGATTGGAAGAAACATAATATCAAAATCCTACAAATTTCTGAGTTTTCTTTTCTTTTCTTTTCATTTTTTTATTTACTCAATGAAACCATTGTAGATAATAAATAAAGATTAATGAATCTAAAAATTATATCTTGGAATGTTAACGGTTTAAATGATAAGAGGAAGAGAAATAAAATAGAACATGTATTGAGGAAAAAACAATGGGATATTATATGCTTGCAGGAGACCCATGTGACTAGAAATCACAGAAGGGTTTTAGAAAACAAGAGGTTTGGTCAAGAATTTATATCCTCAGATGTAAAAAAGAAAAGGGGAATTGTGTTCTATGTGAACCCTAAACTAGACGCAAAAAAAAATCTTTAAGGATGATGAGGGTAGATTATTAGGGGTAAAAATAACAAAAGGTAAAGAACATTTAATTATAGTAGGAGTTTATGCACCGAATGGTAACAAAACAGAATTTTTCAGAAAAGTAGAAGCTAATTTACTGGAATTTATAGAAGAGGAAATTATTTTGATGGGAGACCTAAATGGTGTTACATCAATAGAATTAGATAGAACAGAGAGAGAAAGAAAATAAAAAAAGGCAGACTCCCAGACACCTTCTTTCAGATGCTAGAAAACTTAAATTTGATTGACACATGGAGATATAAAAACCCAGGAGAAAGACAGTATACACATTTTTCGGAAGTTAAAAAATCAGCCGGCAGAATTGACAGCATATGGGTATCAAATAACTTAACAACTAAAATTAAAAAAGCAGAAATACAGACCAAAATTATTACAGATCACAACCCAGTCACATTAGAATTAAAGGAATACAAGAAAATTAATAAAAGATGGAGACTTAATGAAAGAATATTAAATGACGAAAAGATTGTGAAAAAAGCGCAAGAACTAATGAAAGAATTTTTTGAATTAAATAAGGTACAGGATACAGACATCAGGACAATATGGGATGCAAGTAAAGCTTTCATAAGTGGCTTTTACATACAACAAAGTGCAATAAGGAAAAGAAACAGAGAGCAAAAACTAGAACAATTAAGGAAAGAAATAGGAACAAATGAAAAATTATTAACAAAATAACCAAAAAATGAATTAATAAACCAAAAACTAAAAATATTACAAACCCAGGCTTCAGCAATACTAAATAGTGAAATTGAGGATAATATTAAATGGATGAAACAAAGGTCGTTTGAATTCGCAAATAAACCCGGAAAGATGCTAGCCTGGCAATTGAAAAAGAGAGAAAAGGAAAAACTGATTGATAAAATGTGAGTGCCTGGAGGCGGTTGGAGGATGGATGGCGGCTAATGGATTGAAGTTGAATCCTGACAAGACAGAAGTATTGTTTTTGGGGGACAGGGGGCGGGCTGGTGTGGAGGACTCCCTGGTCCTGAATAGGGTAACTGTGCCCCTGAAGGACCAGGTGCACAGCCTGGGAGTCATTTTGGACTCACATCTGTCCATGGAGGCGCAGGTCAATTCTGTATCCAGGGCAGCTGTCTACCAACTCCACCTGGTACGCAGGCTGAGACCCTACCTGCCCACGGACTGTCTCGCCAGAGTGGGGCATGCTCTAGTTATCTCCCGCTTGGACTACTGCAATGCGCTCTACGTGGGGCTACCTTTGAAGGTGACTCGGAAACTACAACTAATCCAGAATGCGGCAGCTAGACTGGTGACTGGGGCCGGCCGCCGAGACCACATAACACCGGTCTTGAAAGACCTACATTGGCTCCCAGTACGTTTCCGAGCACAATTCAAAGTGTTGGTGTTGACCTTTAAAGCCCTAAACGGCCTCAGCCCAGTATACCTGAAGGAGCGTCTCCACCCCCATCGTTCTGCCCGGACGCTGAGGTCCAGCGCCGAGGGCCTTCTGGCGGTTCCCTCATTGCAAGAAGCAAGGCTACAGGGAACCAGGCAGAGGGCCTTCTCAGTAGTGGCACCCGCCCTGTGGAACGCCCTCCCATCAGATGTCAAAGCGATAAATAACTACCTGACATTTAGAAAACATCTTAAGGCAGCCCTGTTCAGGAAGTATTTAATCTGTGATATTTTACTGTATTTTTGGTTTCTATGGAAGCCGCCCAGAGTGGCTGGGGAGGCCCAGCCAGATGGGCGGGGTACAAATAATAAATTATTATTATTATTATTATTATTATTATTATTATTATTAAATAGTGGAAGAAGGGAGAACTTTTGATAATCCTGAGGAAGTTAATAAGTGCTTTATAAAATATTATAATAAGCTATATAAAGCAGGAAATGAGACAGAGTATGAAATAAAAGAGTATTTATGTGGAAAGGATATACCTAAAATTAAGAAAGAAAAGATTCAAGATCTAAACTCCCCAATAACCACGACAGAGCTTCATCAAGCGATAATTAAGATGAAATTGGGAAAATCCCCAGGTCCAGACGGTCTTACCGCAATACATTATAAAAAATTAGAGGAACCACTATAGTCACCTATGACGACACTCTTAAATAGAATACTAGAAGACGGGAAGATTCCCAATACCTGGAAGCAGGCTCACATACTAGTAATCCCGAAACAAGGATGAAATAAAGAGTTCATAACCAATTATAGACCAATATCATTACTAAATAATGATTACAAGATCTATGCACAAATATTGGCAACAAGATTAAAGACAGTTTTGCAGGATTGTATAAACAAAGAGCAGGCAGGGTTCTTGCCGGGCAGGAAAATGAGTGATAATATAAGAACAGTGATCGATATGATCGAGTATTTAGACATGAAACCGAGTAAGAAGGTAGCCTTTGTATTTGTGGGCGCGGAAAAGGCGTTTGACAAAGTTTCATGGAAATTTCTAAAAATATTATTAGACCAGATGGACATGGGAGACCAAATTACAAGAGGGCTAAAAGCAATTTATGAACAACAAGAAGCAAATATAATAATAAATAATGACCACGACTGATTATTTTAAAATACAGAAGGGCACCAGACAAGGGTGCCCACTTTCACCATTATTATTCATTTTGGTTTTGGAAATACTAAATCAAGAAATCAGACTGGATCAAGAAATAAATGGAATATCCTTAGGGGAGAAAATATACAAAATAAGGGCATTTGCAGATGACTTAGTCTTAATGGTAGAAAATCCAAAGGAAAGCATAGCAAAGGCTCTAGAAAAAATGGAAAACTTTGGAAGGGTTTTAGGTTTTGCTTTGAACAAAGAAAAAACGAAACTAATGGTAAAAAACATGGGAGATCAAGAGAAAAAGGAACTGGTAGAAAAATTTGGATTACAAATTGTAAAAAAAGTGAAATATTTAGGAAACCAAATAACAATGAAAAATATAAATTTGTTTGAAGATAATTATAAAAAAATTGGGAAGAAACAAAAAGAGAAATGGAAATTTGGATAAGATTGAATTTAACACTCTGGGGTAGAATTTCAGCTATTAAAATGAATATCTTACCAAAACTCCTGTTCCTTTTTCAAATGATTCCCATAATAGGTAAAGATGATTGTTTTAAAAAATGGAAAACGGACCTAACAAAGTTTATATGGCAAGGCAAAAAGCCACGGATCAAACACAAATTATTAACCGACATAAAAGAGCGGGGAGGTTTTGGACTCCCAGACCTGAGACTATATTACGATGCTGCATGCTTTACTTGGATCAGAGATTGGATTAAGTTAGATAATAGTGACATTCTAGACTTAGAGGGATGGAACAACAGATACGGTTGGCATGCCTATCTAATTTATAACAAAGTGGCAGTACATAAAGAATTTCTAAGCCATGTAATTAGAAATGCATTATACAAGGTCTGGGTGAGACATAGAAGGTTGTTAGAACCGAAAACCCCATGGTGGGTCTCACCGTTAGAAGTAATATCGGTTAGAAAGAAAAATACTATAGGAAGAATGGCGACATACCAGCAGCTCCTAAAGGAGGAAAAGGGCCAATTAAAACTAAGACCATACGAAGAGGTGACCCAATACTGTACCACATGGTTACAATATCACCAAATTGCACAAATATTCAATCTGGATAAAGTAATAGAATTTGAAAAAGAAGAATCAAAATTACAAAAAGGATTATTACAAAACTCAAAAAAGAATATATCCAAAATGTATAATTTATTATTAGAATGGGAATTAAAGGATGAAGAAGTAAAAGAAGTTATGACTAAATGGGCATGTGATATAGGATATGTAATTCGGCTGGACCAATGGGAGAAATTATGGAAATATGATATTAAATTCACGGCATGTTATACAATCAGAGAAAATTTCATGAAAATGGTGTACCAATGGTACGTAACTCCGGTAAAATTGGCTAAAATTTACAAATTAAAATCAAACATCTGTTGGAGATGCAAAAAAGAAATAGGAACAATGTTTCACATGTGGTGGGAATGCCAACCTATTAAACAATTCTGGAATGAAATTTATGAAGAACTCAAAAAGATGTTTAAAATATCTTTCAGTAAAAAACCGGAGGCATTCCTTTTAAGTCTAATCACAAACGATATTCCTGACAATCAAAGGAAAGTATTCCTTTATGCAACAACAGCTGCCAGGATGCTTATAGCAAAAAACTGGAAAGGGAGAAAAATTCCATCAGTGA